CTTTTATTAGAAACAACAAGTTTGTCGACCTGTTTATAATCAACACAACAAAAGAATTAATTCAAAAGTTAATTCAAAAGGGAGATCATGAAGCTGAGCACTGAATCAGTGACACCTATGAGGCTTGAATAACACAACAATGGTAGACCATGACATAGCATTGCATGCCAACCATGCCATTATTTTAGTGACAACTTATAAAATACTATAGATCTACAGCATGGCATTACATGCCACCAAGAGATCTGTGTAACTCTGAAGTTAGAGTGTCTGACCAGAGAAATTTACTTCCAAGAAAAACTACAAAAAARTATGGGTGGTATGCACCGCTAATCAAACTTACATCTCCTTTTTCCAGGTAATTGGTACGGAATTCCTGCCARTTAATTTCTCTAACAGGAGTACCACTGTACATCAGAAGGTATCCGGCACCAAGAGCCAAACCAGTAGCTAGCCAAATCTGTTGTTGGTAATTCTCAAAGAAGTTCTGCCACCACTGATTATTGCCACCTGGACCTTTCCCATCTCCTGAACTACTACTTCCACCTGATTTCTTGTTAGAACTTGAATTATTATTTCCTGGAAAAGGTGCAATTTATGCAGCAATTAAAATGATACTCTTAAACCAGAATTATTTCCTGGAAAAGGTACAATTTATGCAGTGATAAAAACGATACACTTAAAACCAGAATTATTTCCTGGAAAAGGTACATTTTATGAAGTGATTAAAACAATATACTTAATCATAAAGATTAAATTTCAATAAAAATGTTAGAATAGTTTTTTCCACAGTTTTTGCCCTTGATTGAAGGCTGCTACAGAGAACCATAAGATTCATTCAGGTGATTGATACCAACCAATACCTCCATTGGCTCCTAGATTGCATGTGGTGTACTTGGTGTTACAGTCTCCAAAACAAATGTTCTGACATTGTCATTGAATTGTCATAAATTTGTAAAGTATATCAATTCTATTTATAGAAATTATACATCTTTCTGAAAGATTTTTCAAAAACAATTTTTTTACCAAGGGCCAATCAGTGAATTAGAAAAATAGTTAATTTTACAAATAAAAACAGAAATGTTTTATAAAAACATCTTACCTGATGTGTTATTTTTGGACGATTGTTTTGAAGCTCCAGGAAAATACTTCTCAAACCCTAAAGAAATAATTTACAATAATAAGAAATGAACTGTAAGTAACACTACAACATGAATGTGGATGAACCAAGAATTGATAACTGTGTCATAATATCTAAACAAAGAAAACAATTGCAAAAACAGAAAAAAAATTTTTTTTTCAATTTTTGCTATGAAAAGTATGCTTCACGAATATCACTGTATTCCTAGCTGTTTGAGATTCCGTGTCAACTAACCCTATAAATAATGACATGATCAAACTTTTTTGTTATGCAAGGTTCCTCTTGTTATCGTTTGAAAGGTCAATCAAATCATATATAACAAAAGTCTTACAAAAGACAACAACTATTTGACATGTTGATCACCATTTATACCTTCAACACATGTTTTTTTCCGTTACCTTTTGGTGCTTGAGAGCTAAACCTCGCGAGACGGTCAAAACATAGTTGAGTGAGTGGTTTATGAGTCAGCAAAACTCTTGTACTACAAGAAAAACGACCAMCCTAAAGATAACAAGATATTATATAGACAATTCTTATCTTCCTACTGCACTTTCTCTTCAGGTATACCTAATATAACGAAGGGAACCTGTAGTACATCTATRCATAAAATGAAATAATGCAATATTGAATTTATAAGTTGAAAACAAAGTTCATGTCGTATATATGTGACGAACCTGGGTGTTCAGGAGAGTTCGTATAAAGGAACTATTTAACCAAGGTTGTAGAGGCTTGGAGCAGAATCTGAACGCCATGACCGGCTCTCGTAGTACTATGCACTTTATCTTGGGGTTTTTGGTATAAAAATAGGCTAAACTACCAAGTTATAATCACATCTTTTCGAGATCTTTTCTTCATAAAAAAGGCTTATGCAACTAAAAACCAAGATGGCTGCYACTGGTGTCTAGTCTATTAGCGATAATCTATACCACAGGGAGACCAAAGAAWCAAGAATAACTAGCAATCTCTCCTCACACAAAAAAGAAATTTGAAATTACAAATCTAAAAGTGTAAAGCAGGTGTAAAGTAAGAAGATTTTTTTTAAATCTTTGGCTTTGAGATAAATGAATAATTCTAAAAAATGTCAATAATAATTGCGATTGTTAACCTTATACCACAGGGATACCATCAAACTATTTTTTTCCAAGATGGCGGGGCGAAAGATTCAATACGTGCAGCAAGAAACACCTTCGTTTATAAAGAATTTCAAGGCTCAAGTCGGCTATAAAGAGCCRGATAATGTAGAAAGTAAATTCGAAAAGCTAGAAAAGAGTTCAAATGAGGAAGAAGAAGACCGAGATGGAGAGAAACCCGTGGTTATTCTTGGTTCAAATGTTTCTGAACAAGAAGCGAATGAATTCCTGGCTAAAGAACGAGAAGAGGAAGAAGAAGAAGAAGATGAAGAAAGTGAGGAACAGGACCATGGTAAGTTAAATTGTTATTTTTCTTTGTTTACTTATTTCCTTTCTGGCCTAYCCCTCCCTTTCTTACCCTTCAGTACCCCTAAACTTAACCCTCGATGTTGAAGTGTCATGTAGAATCTTTAGACAATCTTTTTATAGTGATTGCTTAGTCTTTTAATATCGTACAACTGCTTATTCTTGGCATAGACCCTAGTAAATTCATTTATACAGTCCAGTGCAAGGAGTGATGCGGGTAGGGAGAGGGAAGGAGAGGGGAGGGAGGGGGGTGGTGTTTGGGAACTGGTGGAACTAACAAATTTGCAGTTGACTTGCCCCTAAGTTGTCAGAGGAAAGCTTTGGGATTTTCCTTCTTTTATTGGATTTAAGACCAAAAAAGGAAGGGACTTTGCTTCTTATAAACAAGTGGAATAAAAATGTAAGGAATAATACATCTTTTGATTTGTTGCAGAAGCTAAAAGAAGCAGCAAGGTGGAAAATAAAGACAATAAACAAGAAGGGAAATTTGTGTTCAAAAAACCCACCAAGAGAAAATCAGAAGAGTCGAGAAAAGACGATAGAAAAAAGCAAAAGGAAAAACAGAAATCGTCTAGCAAAGCAGTGAAGAATGCAAGTCTGCTTTCTTTTGGAGATGATGAAGAAGAGGAAGATTGATGACGGGATTCTGGTCATGCTCCTGCAACTCAGATGTGCTAAAAAATTCAAAATACAATTCATTGCTCAAAGCTACATTGAGATGCAAGTGCAATATGCACACTGTGAAATGAAATGAAAAAATAAGGGAATGCTATAAGCAAGTCAAAAGATACCMAAGGTATCCCATGATGCAAAGCATTAAAAGAGCCATAATGCAATTCTACCAACGATTACATAGTATAGTAAAGAGGAGCTGAAATAACCATCAGCAGGAGTGGCAGTACTGTTGCGCCTTGCTTAATGGACACACAAAAAATATAGACAACCCCTAGCTATTATCAGATGGACTTTTATATTGTCCTGGCGATATGCATTAACTCACTAAGATACCCTGTTAATATGGACACTGTAAATCCAAACTGATTAGCTAGATTGAAGAAACAATATATAGGTGTTATATTCATTATTTTATTGCTTCCAAGCCTTTGTCATTCAATTTTTGATGGTCTTGCCCTTTGTACCAGAACATCTTGTTTATTACTCCTAAAGTCAAATAAAAACAGGTCTTAGAACACCAATAAACCAATCATATTACTAACCACTTTTTCAAGAATGTCTTTAAATTGACTCAACAAATTCATCCTCAGAGACTTTGTTTCTCGCAAGTTCAAGAGATGAGATGAAATAGCCACAAAACTCAAGGGGCAATTTGCACTAAGGTCATATGAACCCATCSCTTGGAACCATTATTAGTTGTGTCRAAATGAACCCTCAAAATTAGAATGAATACCTCGATATTAGTAAGAATGTTTAAGAAATTCAAAATTGTCCCAAAATAGGTCAGGAAAACCCCTTCACGATCGATAGATGGTTCTCTTCTCCACGCTTTATGCTGATGCACTTCCTGTCTGTCCGTGAATTGCATGGAAATGTTAGCGCCAAAATGCGCACGTTTGYCCCCCAAATCTGGGACTTTCGTTGCCACTACGCTTTGCCACTCAGTGTTCTAAGTGCGCATATGATTGTCCTACAGATTTAATACAAATTTCCTTAGAGATATTACCTTGTCAAATAGATTGATGTAATAGTATGGTCTAATATTGGAATTCACCACGTAAGAAACGTAGCGATCATACATGTTTGTTGGCATTCTTCCATTGTATTAAAATGGTTACGACTAGAGCTGCATCCTTGATAGGTAAAACTCTGGCAAATATCTTTCTCCTTGTTAAAGTAATATTGTACCACTGGTACTTTTTGGCAGCTACTATCGTCTCTTGGATCATCGCAGACATCGTTAGCTGTCAAAGGTGGGGCTGATAACACACAGTCACCTTGGAAATAAAAAAATAGTTATCAACATATCTCTTTTTAGTATGGGCATGTTTCCCATTTCAGACACCGTGTCATTCCCTAGAGTACCATTTCTTTGTTTAACGGTTGCGCATGAGAAGACACATGAATACGGATACGACTTAAACAAATAATTTTATTCTGAAGAGAATGCCATGTGGTTTAAAATGCAAAAACATTACGCCCAATGTAAAAAGGTCTTTAGTTACTCTGCTTCAAAGAAAATAAGAGGGTACCATTTGATGGAAAGACTCGCGTCCCGGTAAATATTCCCCGATAATCACTTCGCCTTTAGCGAATAATTGTTAAACAGTACTCGAGGTGAGGCAAAACATAGGCATTATCAATCGAGGCAAAACTTTTGTAGGCGCCAGACGCTTAAGGCGACGCAGGGCTTCTGTTTTAGCATACACTTTTTTCAACATATCGCCAATATGCAATTTAAAAGGTAGATTATTATCCAGTGTTACTCCTAGGATCTTAAGACTGTTCTAAGACTGTTTTAAGACTGTTCTACCGTAATACGCCATGAACGACGCGTTACTTTTTCGCTCCTACGAAATCATGCATCTGCTCTTTAGAGGCTTTGCACCATCACGTGAATGGCAGCCATGACAGGAGGCAGAAACAATAGACCCTTTTYGAGTTCCAAATTACCGCTGTGTTTCTTGATTACAGACTCATTTACTCAGGCTTAGCCTCGATTTTGTGAAGAATAATATTCACGTGTTCCAGTCAAGGTCCGTCAAGTTTCAAAGTGTTCGTATTGTTGAAGTTGTGCATTCTTTACTTTACCGTTGGTAAATGTGAATATCTAGACACTGATTCGAGGCTTAGCCTGAGCAAATGAGTCTGTAATCAAGAAACACAGCGGTAATTTGGAACTCGAAAAGGGTCTATTGAATCTGGTCTATGRTTTACATGAGAAAGAATTCAGTTTCCCAGGGGAGAATGACTTTATTCTTGTGCCTGCTGTCATGGCTGCCATTACGTGATGGTGCAAAGCCTCTATTAGCCATTCCGTGTTTGAGGCAAAAGATGGGTCGAGTTGGCATTGCAGTGCATTGTGGGATGGTTTTAGGGGACGAAATAGCCGCCATCTTGGAAATATGTCCCTAAGACAAGCCCACAAAGAAATGTCATGTAAACTCGACCCAGTTTTTCTTCTACCTCKGCATGGTTCATAAAAGTTTGTGACAATGTAAACAGAACACTTCCCAAACAAGTCAAACACCTGTTCAAAGTATAGTCAGGGACTAGAAGAAATCCGGTCTAGCCTGTTTGATGACTAATGTACAAACCAACTGAGTAAATGACAGACCACGTGATTTCATATGATGTCACGTGATGTTTTTAGGAGTCAGTTATGGCGAGGCTTGAAATCTTGTCCCGAAATCAAAAATGAAGACACTGAGCTCGAATCTAACCATTTCATTCGTGTTTGTTTTTCATATAGGCGACTGCCTAACAAAACTTGTCGATAATACTGTCATGAATAGAGTATTACCTACGCGGAAGCAATTCTTGCAATTTTAATTTCAAACATCAGTAATGAAATTATCTACACATATAGGGATTTGAATTGAAGTTCTAAGAGCCTTAAACAATAAAACTGACATTCTGTGGAATGAGAACGATGTGTACAGAGATAACGGACTGTTGCCCCACGACCAGTACTCGAAACAAAATTATTCTGGTGTGATTTACATTAAACATAGAATGATTTTATTTAACCCGTGAAAGAAAAATGACTATTTACTTAGTACTAGTTGACAAAAAAACGAGAGAAAACAATGGGTTTAGAGTCTACTACTAACTATTATGCGTACAACCTTTTCACGGGTTAAATATACTCACTCTAGCAAGATTTTCTCACTTTTTTGTAGTATATAGATCTAACTGTATAAGAATGGAAGGGTTAAAAAGAATAAGAAAAACCTTATGTTTATAATGTTTGAATCATATATCTTAATTTTCCTACTTCTCGTGCATTTCGTTTGAGATCTTAGTAACTAAAGGAATAGGACTTGATTGTGGGAGGAATGGAGAAAACCTGTGGATAATTGACTTCGAAACTAAATACTTTAGTAGTGCTTCTCTGTGATATTTAGTACCTAAGACAAACTGTTTTATTTCTATGAAAGACACAAACCTCGTTACTAATGATCATATCTGTTTCTGAAAATTCTGGTTTCGTTCAGTGTTTTTGTTTGTGGTGTTGATGGTGGGGGTGAAGGTGCTCTTTCTTTGAAATTGGACGGAATGGAATAAAAGAGAACTCCTTTGAGTAAACTGAGGTTGCTACAGTTTGAAATGTTCTCTACTCACCTAACAGGCAGAGAATACCAAAATATATAACGACGAACCGGCTCATTTTGATCAAGTTACCCAAAAGCACAATGCATAAGCTAGGTATACCGACCAGTCTTGGAAACAGCACGGTGGAACTGTTGTACCAGTACTCGTCCAAAAGGTAGAAATCATTGATTGCCTACTTAAGTGCTCAGAGAAAATAAAGTCTCCTATTGGTTTAAAAGCGCTGTTTCTAGAGCAMTTTTTCACTTGTCAGGGCATTGTTTATATTGTGCTGATGGATGTTGTTAAATGAGCGCGAGGTGTTACGCATAACGCCATCTATTCGTTCTCTATCTGTTGATTAACAAATAAAACGCCTTCGCCTGTGGAAGTAATTTAAGYGCTCGGTTTTTCAACACCGCCGACAAGTAAGTGTCCTTTTTTTATAAGTTTTTATATCGACCGAAAGATGTCGGATGACTTCTATTAGGATGCTGTAGCTATGGCGAARTAAAACGTCTCCTGGTTGAGCGGAAAAGGCGGCGGCAAATAATGATTCTTATTAGTGGAGCAAGAAAYGAACAGGATGGGAAGCTGTGAAGCTCTTGAAAAAGGTTCCGGTTCCCTGTTTGAAGTGGATCGTGCAMGTGCGCAGTACGAAGAAYGACATCCATCCTATCTTATTYCTATTATMYATCCACCCATCTATMCATGCATTCCATCAATCCGTYAKTCARTCAAATAATTCATGATATATCTAYTTCTCCATTTMTCATTMATCTATCTATCCATYCTTCATATCCATCCATCTATCTATCYATCCACCTATAACAAMGATCCGTCAATCAATCCCATCCTTTTCCATTCATCAAWCTATYCATCCATTTRTTCATCATTTCTTCCGTCTTTCTCTTTGTCAGTTCTTTTTTCTTCCTTGATTTCCAACAAGTCACAGCTTCCTGCGCATAATCTTAACTACAGGCTGTTTTCAGATTTTCATCAAACTCGACAACCCTAGCGAATCTCATTCTCTATACATATAATATGTACGATTTCCACGTTCATTTGTAGCTGCATTACTTTCTACCAAGTACATCACACGGCTCGTTCCATTTGTGTGTACTGCGCATTCAGTAACCAATGAGCCTTGATAGTTCTCCAACCCTGTGATCTAAGATTTTTGGGAGTAAGGGCCACTGCCTATTAAGATAGGACTGTACTGTATTCCACGTTTCCCCCCCCCCCCCCTCTCTCTCTCTTATACATACGCTTGAGATAGGGGAAAAGTATAGTTTTTCGCAAAAGACGAACAAGCATCATTTGATCTGTTAAAATTCAATAGCGAGATCTGATGGAAAACTTATCGAAACTATCTAAATCTCCAGTGAATTAACATATAAATAATGTCGATTTTTCGTAACACTATTTAGTGGCCAACAGATCAATAGCATTACTAGGAATGTCGCAACGTTGTGCCATAATGTCGATTTTTCGTAACACTATTTAGTGGCCAACAGATCAATAGCATTACTAGGAATGTCGCAACGTTGTGTCATAATGTCGATTTTTCGTAACACTATTTAGTGGCCAACAGATCAATAGCATTACTAGGAATGTCGCAACGTTGTGCCAACGAGAATAAACGTCATAGGTGGTACACCGTTGTATTCGAAACAGTAATATATTCAATAAATATTTATCTGTCAGATACATGAAGTACCATCCCACTGATGTCTCTTGATCAAGTCAGAGCCTTGAGAGATGATGTCCTCGAATCTTGCTTACTAGGATTTTGGATGCATTCAAAAACATTAAAAATACGAATTCACAAAATGAAATCATGCGCACCTTTTCGGAAGCTATTATCTTGTTGTATAAACATCAAATATTGCGTTATGTACAAATGATTGTACAAAGAAAAACATATTTGCTTATGTCATTTGAWAGGGCAATTAAACTAATCTACTCTAAACTGTCAAGATGTACTGTAGTTATTTCAAAAATTACTCATCGAATTAACCTGCACAATATCAGGGKTTTTTTCTGACTGAAGAGAAGCTAATTGTGATTTTAAACTCCTCACAAGTGTTTTAATCTCTGTTACTTTTCAGTGTTCTTCATAGTGAAACAAATAAACAAACGCTATTATTCTTAATTCTTAAGTTTACTATTTCCATCCTATGTCTTTCCGTTCTCTATCTTTCTGTCACAATCTAGCRACATCTTTAGATATTCGAGAAATGGGCTTTTTTACCTTCTAATTTATTTTTTTTATTCCATTCATTCTTTTCTTTTTCTTCCTTTCTTCTTCAAGGCATCCTTGAGAATCCACTATTGACATCAGTGTCCTTAACTGTGCGCAACGTCATTATTGTCTCACTTGCGTGCGTCTGCAATACATAAACAGGACACTGTAAAAATGTTTTTAGTCCAGTTCAATTATTTACGAAGTTCATGCGGAAATTTATAAGATGAGGTTCTATTTTTTTTTTTTTTTAACGTGATGTTATTGGTTAATGAGGCTGTGCGTTGTTACACTGATGTTTCTTGTGCACACAGGTTGCTGCTGGCATACTAAGGGAGGGGGGAGGGAGTGTTAACGTAATGCGGAGGAATAAGGCGGAAGGGTTTGGGGGTGGTAGTTGGGTGCAATGATTATATTAACAGTCTCATGCACTCTTGACAAGGTGCGCACTTAATTTTAGAGAAAACTAGAGTGTAAAACTGTACGGCATATAGAACCATCAAGGCAYGAAATAGATGACGGGATTGAGGTCGAGATCTCTTTTCATCCAATGAAAATGATCAGTCATGACACGGTCATGATCATAGCACGGCACGGCACGGTACGACATAACCGAACCAGGAATTTTTCAGATTCATACCAGAGTTATGTAAAGTTATATATAACTCAAAATATTTACAACTAATGGAAACTTGGCCTCGAAAACTTTAAATTTATCTAAGTTCCCAATACTCTCATTAGATATTTATATTTCTGATTCATTACAATGAATTTTAAATAGAGGCATTCTTATGGGATTATTATTATTATTAATACTATTGTTATTGCTGTAAATTTGCTAGTCCCGCAGTGAACGAGCATTGACGTGCGTGTTCATCAAGAACATGCGTTGTGTGTCAATATGGTGAAAAAAGACTTGTATTAATGCTGCGTCTGAAAGACTTTTACTAGAGAGATTTTCATAAACCCGTGAAATAAGTGTTAGCGTAAGAATCATTAATACAAACCAGTACGAGTTATTATCCATCAAACAACGAAGTAATAAAATACAGTCAATAACCTTTCACTGCAATACTTAGTTGCCTCACTAATAACCACTATTACACATTATTACACTATTACAGACTACCACAGTTTGTGGTTTTTCTTTTTGTTTAAAGCGMCTAGAGCAGATTTGGATAGGCGCTATATAAATATTTATTATTATCATTATTATTATTAATATGTGTTAATAGAAGTAAATAGCTAAATTTTGTTTCACRGGTTTATGAAAATCACTCTAAGATATTGAACGTTGTATTTTATGAAATATTTGTTGGATCACAACGATTGATGAGAACGATGACACTGACTAGCAGATATAGAAATAGGATTATTGAAGAAGTAAAGAGAAAGAGAGGGAGAGAGAAAAAAGAAAAACTCAATATACTTTTTCCAATTCGAGCTATAAATTCATTTGTTTTGATCCGCCCAGAGGTTTTTCCCCACAGTTCTATCTGTGTGCACTCACTTAGATCAGCCCAGAGGTTGTTTCAGGATTTGATAAAATCTAATATTTTTAYTGGAAATACGTAATATAAGTTCAAGCGGAAGGTATAAACAAAGAGGAATCTTRTGTTAAGTGAATTATTGAGYTATCACAGAAGAGAAATTGGAAAAYTTAATTAAGAGTAAGTAAATAATCATTCCAATCTAAGCTATCTAATTAACTCCCAACCTAAGGGGATAGAAGCCAAGTCAAACTGAGAGAAAACAACATATCAATGCCTACTGGCAGTTTTCCTATTAACAACGAAAATATTGTTCCTCAAAATATATATTTTTGCTATTCATAGATAAAGAAGTACCGAATCAATGGTTCCATCGATCTGTAGGCAATAGTTTTAATTGGAATCAGATATCGAGAGAATCCAAAATGCAATCAAGGAAGCGTTGAGCGRAAAGAATGAATGATAAGGTTCTCAAAACAAATGCAGCTAAGGGACCACCATTTCGTTCATTGATCCTCCTTTATTTAATTTGAGATAAAACAAAACTTTCTGGGTCTATTTCCCTTTTTGTACACCAAGATTAGTTTTTACTTTATGTAGTACATATTGTGTTAGTCTCTATATGCRCTGTATATTTAGTCTTTAATGTAAAACGCGAGTAAGATTTTTTTTAAAGAAGATGATGGATTGCCAGAAAAAACTTAAAAAAACAAAAASAAAAAGAAAAAGAATGGTTTTAAGTATCCTGAGTATCATCAATGGATCATTATAAGGATCATTATATTCTCATAGACGTCAGGCCTGAACTAATGATCAATATTTTCACTATCCCYGCTCTCGTGAGCGCAATAACTCGTAATTACTAGAGCTCCTACTGACATTCCTTCCTGATGAAGAGATCAAATTAGGACGCAAACAGACAATCGGTTATTTTTATCACTGCATGGGTTTATTACTTATTGCTAGTCGTGGTTCTATTCCATGTGGGAGGTTAATGCGTCACTATAGGCACTGGTGGGTGGTGGGTTTAGAAGACAAATTAGATTTGATTATCTAATTATCGTATAGTATCCAAAGTTAGCCGGGTTTACGGGTTTATTACTTATTGCTAGCCGTGGTTCTATACCATGTGGGAGGTTAATGCGTCTATAAGCACGGCTGGGTTTAGACGAATAAGTAGATTTGATTATCTAATTATTGTATACTGTCCTAAGTAAGCCTCTACTGGACCTCTGCGGATTAAAAACATCGAGTGAAGGCATTTTTAGCATCATTATATATGAATGATTATATAATTTAACAAATCAATCTCAACTATCCCATTTTCTTTATCCATCCATCMCAATCCCTTTCCATCCTATTCCATTCATTCRTCTATCCCGARMATCYCATCATATCTATCTACGYGCCYCACCAATCCACTCATTTATCTATCTATCCTACTTCCATCTATTCCATCCCGTATTATGACT